ATCAAATGTTATGTCCAACTCAACCTCCCATTAGTTGGATCTCAAAAATGCTTGTGACCACTCTGGTATAAGGGAAAGTGTGACAGAGAACAAGAAACAGCTGCCCTAACTGGTTGTCATGTAAATCTCTTACTTTTGCAAATTATGTAATGTGTGACCATATGCATACACTCCCAAGACCCTCCTCATGCAAGATAGGAGCCTCGGATTTCAGTTGCAGTAGCATTGTAGTCAACCCATCTCTGATTATAACGTGTATTATTTGTGTGTATATATACACATCATACGTGAAGAAAGCAAGAGGTCATTTAAAAGGCAGGAAAGAAAGAAAGAAAGAACAAAATAGATGTCAGAAGAGACTCTGAAACTTGCTCTTGATTGGAAAGTAACTGAAGTGAATGGAAGAAACGAGGGTGTAAAAGAACTGAACAGAAGTTTTCAAAGGGCAGCTCGAGAAGACAAAGTATTATAATTAAATGTGCAAAGATCTGGAGTTAGAAAACCAAAATGGAAGAACACACTCAATATTTCTCAAGCTGAAAGAACTGAAGAAAAATTCAAGCCTTGAGTTGCAATACTGAAGGATTCTGTGGGTAAAATAGTGAATGATACAGGAAGCATCAAAAGAAGATGGAAGGAATATAGAGAGTCACTGTACCAAAAAGAATTGGTCGATTTCATCCATTTCAGGAGGTAGCATATGACAAGAACTGATGGTTTTGAAGGAAGAAGTCCAAGCTGCACTGAAGGCTTTGGCCAAACACAAGCCTCCAGGAACTGATGGAATACCCACTGAGATGTTTCAACAAATGGATGAGGCACTGGAGACGCTTACTCGTTTATGCCAAGAGATTTGGAAGACAGCTACCTGGCCAATTGACTGGAAGAGATCCATGTTGTTGTTGTTGTTGTTATGTGCCGTTGAGTCGGCCCCGACTCATAGCGACCCCTCCTTGGGTTTCCGAGGCAGTATCACTACGGAAGTAGGATTGCCCAACCTTCCTTCCGAGGAGTGGCTGGTGGGTTTGAACCGCCAGCCGTCTGGTTATCAGGCAAGTGATTTAGCCACTATGCTACCAGAGCTCCCGAAGAGATCCATATTTGTGCCCATTCCAAAGAAAGGTGATCCCACAAAATGTGGAAATTAACAGTATCATTAATATCACACACGTATTTTGCTGAAGATAATTAAAAAATGGTTCCAGCAGTATATTGAGAGGGAACTGCTGGGAATTCAAGCTGGTTTCAGAAGAGGACATGGAACAAAGGATTTTGTTGCTGATATCAAATGGATCTTGGCTGAAAGCAAAGAATACCAGAAAGATTTTTAC